ATAATGCCTCCAACTATTTCTCAATATCACGTGGAGTAAATCAAATTGGCTGAACAATGGCACCTATGATTTTGGGATCAATGAGGGAGGTCAAGATGGATCATCCACTCGGCACTTCTGGAAAAAGATTATTGGGAGTTTCTTTAGCCTTGTCTTTTGCACTGATGTACATCTTCCACCTATGAAGTTTGGTTACTTCTCCTCCAGTGAGCTGTTTAATTATCCACCATCATTTATGATTGAATGCAGCAGGACTGCAGAACTTAGGGTCAGCTTAGTGGTTAGCACTGTTGCCTCAGGCGCAAGGGACCCAGGTTCGATTCCAACTGTGGGCGACTGTCTGTGGATTTTGCATTTTCTTCCCCTGTCTGTGTGGGTTTCTTCCAGGTGCTGTGGTTTCCTCCCACAGTCCAAAGATGTGCAAGTTAGATGGATTGGCCATACTAAATTATCCATAGTGTTCAGGGATTTGTAGGTTAGGTGTGTTAGCCAGAGGAAATACAGGGATAGGGCAGAGGGATAGGTCTGGGCGGGATGTTTTCTGGAGGATTGACATGGACTTGTTGGTCCGAATGGCCTGTTTCCATGCTGAAGGGGTTCTATAATCCAATCTAATAAACTTGGATCTGATCCATTGGTTGTGGGATTGCTTAGCTCTGTCTGTCACTTGCTGCTTATGCTCCTTGGCATGCAAGTAGACCCGTTCGGTGGCTACACCAGGTTGACACTTCATCTTCAGGTGTGCTTGGTGCTGCTCCTGGCATGCCCTCCTGCACACTCCATTGAGCCAGTGTTGATCCCCTGGCTAGATGGTAATGGTTGAGTGGGGATATGAGGTTGCAGATTACGTTGGAGTATAATTCTGCTTCTGTTAATGGCCCACAGCATGTCATGGATGCCCACCCTTGAAGTAGCTATGATGTGGAGGTGCCAGTGTTGGACTGGTGTGGACAAGATCAGAAGTCACATGACACCAGTTTTATTTGAAATCACAAGCTTTCACAGCACTGCTCTTCCGTCTGGTGGAGTGAAGAGAAGCACACAGACACATCATTTATAGGCAGAGAGACCAAAAGATCGTACAAATGGTATGAGTGGAGTATTGACAGACTGAATAATAAGCCTCTGCAGGTGATCAAAACTGTCAGATGGTGTGAGTAAAGTGTCAACAGCTGAACGGCAAGCAAAGGGATGACCTATAATTTAATTTTTTGTAATTATGTCTCTGCCTCATTATAGGTCATCCCATCTGAAGAAGGGTCAGCTTTCCTGTTCCTCTGATGCTGCCTGGCCCGCTATGTTCCTCCAGCTGCACACTTTGTTATCTCTTATTTAAGTAGATGAGCATTTGTTTCAATATCGCTTTGAAACCATTGGCAGTGAGAGCAGTGGAGGCAGTGCCAATTCAAAATCTTTAGGACTGAATTAGATAGATTCTTGACTGCAGACAAGGATGTCAATGGATATAGAGGTGAACAGGAAGCTGGAGGCCACAATCTGATCAAGTGGCAAAGCAGACTTGAGGGCTAAATAGCTGACTCCCATCGCTAATACATATGTTTGTATGAATGACATCACGAACCATCTAATTATATTGATATTGAGACAATATGTCTTTGAAGGACTGTTTAAGTTCCACCCCTTCTGTCATCTTTCTTTGGCTTCAAGGTTCTTGCAGCATTCTGTGTGGTTCCTGGCTTGCCCTTCATTACAGGTAGGCTATTACTCCCCATTTCCTAGCCCTTCCTGGTCCCTGCCCACCAAGTCACATGGGTTCAATCCCCAATTCCTTCCCGGCCTGTGTTAGCCCTGACATTGGCTCCACCATTACAACGCTATCCCAAGCAGAAAAGACAAATCATCACTTTTGTAAATATCAAAGGGCCTCTCATGTCAGAAGGCACTTTGTTTTTAGTTTTCGTGCTTTATCTCAAAGGAGGAATCAAAAGGTTGTTTGTATGTATGATGTAAATTTGTAGATTATTATTATTGTTTCAGAACTAGATTCTAAAGTAGAAGTAAAAAAGAAATAAAACAGAGAAAGAGAAATTCAGCAGGTTTGACAGAATCCATTGAAAATGAAATGCTTGCAACCCCCTCATTTGAGTAGGGATTAAAGAGTTAAGATAGGAGAAATACTGTGGTTAAGAGTCTGTGAAAAATGTTGTTGCAAAAAAAGTTGACATTTTCTTTTCTGCTGTTTAAGATATGATCTTTCCAAATTGTCCTTAATGCAAATATAGCATTTTGTTTGCTTTTCTGTGATAAAATTATGTTCTTTTTTAAAAGTACCAGCAGCCTCATGTGAATATGTTCATTAACTGACCACCATGGTAGTAACCAAGTTACAGAAATAAAATATTTGGTCTATCAAGCCAGTTTTCACTTTGAAATCTATTAAAAACAGCTGGGATCATAACACACACAATAATATTTTGATAGCAATATATCATAATTAATTGGCACATTTATTGCTACGCCACCCCAGCCCATAAATCATTCCTCTGTGGCAATTGGAGCCTCTTGTTGGGCGGTGGTCATCTATCTCCTTTGGTATGCTTAGAGTTGACCCAGCTACTGCTCCACCATGTCCATTGCTGTGTTGGCTCCCTGCTCCTAAGTGCTTTCTCCACATACAGCTTTTCAAGTTATGATTTTATTCTGCTTTACCTTATTTTCTGCTTTCGGAGCAGTATCCTCTACTGTAGATATTGGTCATTCACCTGACATCTCAATTAACAAAAAATAGCTAGTGATTGAAGTTAAATTAGCTCTCTTCAAGATTATTTTACTTGTTAATGGGATATGAGCATTGCTGCCAAAGCTATCCTTAACTATCCTTAGAAGCTGGTGATGACCCACCTCCTTGAGCCACTTCAGTCCATCTGGTGTAGGTATATCACAGTACTGTTATTAGTGGAGCTTCGGGAACTTGACCCAGCAACAATGAAGGATTGGTGACATAGTTCAGATTGGTATGTGTCATCAGGGGAAACTTGCAAGCAATGGTTTTCTCATGCAACAGCTCTCCTCCTTTCAGTGGTAGGAGTAATTAGTTTAGAATTTGTTGCCAAGGAAGCCTTGGCAGTTTCCATCTTGTAGCTGGTACACAATGCAGTCGCTCTGCAATGGTGTTGGGAGGATTGAATATTTTAGGTGGGGAATGGGGTGCAATCAATTAGGAGGTTTTGTCCTGGATAGTGTTGGGCTTCTTAAATACATTCACCAAGGCACCTGGAGACTATTGTTTACACTCCTAACTTGTGCCTGGTAAATGGTGGACAAAATTTAGGGCAGCAGAAGATGAGTTACCAGCCACAGAATTTTAAGCTTCTAGCCTCTCTTGTATCCACAGTATTTACATGTGATTCAGTTAAATTTCTGGTCAATGTTAAGCTTCAGGATGTTTGAGGAAGGAGATTTAGCAATGGTAATGCCATTAAATGTCATGGGAGATGGTTGGCTTCTCTTCTGTTGGAAATGGTCACTTCCTGGCACTTTTGTGGTGAAAATGTTACTTGCTACTTACCAGTCCAAGCCTGAATGTTGCCCAGTCTTGTTGCAAGCAGGTACAGACAGCTTCATTATCCGAGGAGCTGCCAAATTGCACCGAACATTTCAATCATTGGTGAATATCCCCATTTCTGACCTTTTAATGGGGCTAGGGTTGTCAGGAAAGTAATTGATGAACAGGTGAAAATGGTTGGGTCTTGTGGTGCAGTGATAATGTTCCTACTTCTGGGCCAGGAGACCTTGGTTCAAATCTTACCTGTTCCAGAGGTGTGTCACAAACAGAGGTGTGTAATAACATCTCTGAATAGATAGATTAGAAAATAGATTAAATAAGTTTTTAAGATCCTCCTAGGAGAAAAAGGGCCCTTGTGGAGCAATGATAGTGTACCTTCCTCTGAGCCAGGAGACCTGGGTTCAAGTCTACCTGCTCCAGAGGTGTGTCACAAACATCTGAACAGATGGATGGAAATATCTATCCTAGGGAAAGGAGGGTTCTTGTGGTACAGTGGTAGTGTCTCTACCTCTGTTCAAGTGCCATCTATTCCAGAGGTGTATAATATTAACTCTGGACAGGTAGATTAGAAATAACTATCCTAGGAAAAGGAAGGGTCTTGTGATGCAGTGGTAGTGTCCTACCTCTGGTCCTGAAAGCCCACCAGCTCCAGAGGTGTGTAATCAACAACTCCTGAAATAGTGTCTTGCCAGTGATGGCCTCCAACAATCATGACCATCTGATCTATTTTACATGTTGAGAGTTATGACTCCAGCAATGGAGAATGTTCTATCGTAAAAACTATAACTCTCAACCCATCTCTTGAATTCAGCTTATTTGTCTGTGTTTCGAGTAAGGCTGTAATGTAATCTGGGGTCAGATGGTACTAGCTGAACCCAAACTAAAGGTTTTGGGCAAGTTAGTGCTAGGTAAGAGCTGCTGATAGCACTGTCAATTGCACCTTCCATCACTCTCTAATAATTGAACGATTAAGTAAGAATAATGGAATAATGAGGCCATAAGTGGCTGTGTTGAATTTGGCTTGCCTTTATGTGATCACGACATAACTGGGCAATTTTCTACATTGTTGAATAGATTCCAGTTTGTAACTGTACCTAACAACGTGGCTAGGTCCGGAGCACAAACCTTCAGTAGCAAAGCCAGGATGTTATCAATCTTTGAGGTCTTTGTTGTATCCAGTTCATCATGAAATTGTTTGGACTGGCATCTGTGATGTTGTGGATCTCAGGAGGAGGCTATCCATTTGCCATTTCTGCTGGAAGATGGTTGCAAATGCTTCCACCTTTTTGTTTGCATTTCTGCTGTGGAATATAGTCTCTGTAGGCCTGAGGGCTTATATTGATTATACATTGATTATTTTTATTTCGGTAAAACAGCGTACAAACATTTCAGCTGAAAAATGCTATGAAATATTGCATGAACCATTAAAGACAATTTTACTGATAATAAATAGGAACAGTTCACTTCTGATATTTCAATCTTCTGCACTCTCTTGACTGTCCATTGCATGTCGAGATTTAGCAAATCCCACTTTATTATTTCCCCGGTCAAAAATGGTGTAGAATTTTGCAAGAAAAACATCTCCCAGAATCCAAAGAGGTCCTTTAGGAGAGTATATATTTATTGCCTGGAATCCGTATAGGCACACTTCCTGTTCATCGTGAAACTTGAGCAATAGAAGATCAAAAAAAAAATAAATGTCCCAAGAAACTGCACACTTTTTATTTATAGTAACGCTTTATAGTAATATTCTGTAATCAAAGTAAATAATCCAGTTAAAAGGGATACCTTTTTAATATAGTCCTCCGCTTCCAACGTATATTCCACATCTTTAATAGTGAAAGTCATGCTCGGCAGTTGGGAAATTCTTTTGCATTCTACCATAAGCTAACAATTAAGAAACAAATCATGTATGAAAACATTCATTTGAAACATTTTTAAATTACTTTACTTAGGAATGGGCTTCTCTCTTTCTATATTGTTTTCTTAAGTGCTAAAGCGGATGCAAATACAATCCTGTCTAAAATTATTGAAACATTGTGAAACAGATCAGGCTGCTAGCCTTGCTTGTAGTCACCCCAAGTTAGTCCAAAGAACATAACTTTGGTAATATCCGAGTTGTTGGAGGAATTATTAAAGATAGACAGTACAACCATCTTGACAGAGAAGGGTTATTGGGGACGGTCATTTTGGCTACTGGAAAGAAAGGTCATATTTCATCAACATAGCTGGATTTTATATCCAAATTACAAAGTTGGTACACATTGTGAGTCAGATCAACATTATGTATTTTGATTTTCAAAAGCCTTTTGACAAAGTTTCACCAGATAGGTTACTAAATGAGACTCAGTCCTGTGGAATTGATTGGCAGATTATTTTGCTGGATATGGAACTAGGTGTACTCTTGTGAATACAAAGTAGCTCTGACTGGACATGGACTGGCCATTAGTAAAGTCTGGGATGAATTATTCTCAATAATCTGGATGAAGATGTTTAGAGGGAACTGGATGTGTGCACTACACAAATGTATGTTTGTAGGACTTTAGATGAAAGTAATTTTGGCAATCAAATTTAGATATAATAGCCACATATGATACATCAATGTAGGAATAACTCCAGGGATGTCTAAGGTTGCTTGTGCTCAAATTTTCTGATGAGAGAAGAACCTAGGGTTATAATCCGTACGACATTGAAGATCTACAATCAGTGTTGCAAGTTTGTTACAAAAATAAACAAGAATTATTGCGAGAACATTCCTTGGCAAGGACAAGGGTGTTTAAGGTAAGTGGGAATTTTACTTTAGAGAAGCATAAACTTCATGAAGACCTGATTAAGATCTTTAAAACAATAAAAAGAATAAGTACAATCCAGGTGCAGGATAGATCAAGATAATAGAAATATGGTTTGTAAATGCAAATAAGTTAGATGTGAGAAAGCATTTCTTTACTATAGAACTCTGAAATAAGTTATTGACATAAACATTAATGGGCAATTTGCTGCTAGCACTGGGCAGGTTCCTGTGAGTGGTAAGCTTATCTACCTGTAATAATGAAGGTGGATCACTGGAGTTTACGATACTCGGCCAGAATAGCCTTCTATAGCTTATTTGATCACCTTAAGGAGGTGTGTAAAAGAAGTATTTTCCAGACATTTATCTAAATTGTCCCATGATTTCTTTATCTCTCACTTTCTCTCCATGGATGCTGCCTGACCCACTGTGATCTCCAGCATTTTTTGTTTACAGTACAGATTCCAGCATCTGCAGTAACTTGCTCCTAATTCTCTTTGTTAATATTTGTCATCCCATGAGTAGCATGTTATGTCTTCTTAAGTATTTTATACAGAAGTGCAGTATGAATTGGTTTGATAACAATTGAATCTGACTAAATCACTGAAAAATGATAAACAGTTAATTTGATTACGATAAAAAGATCATTCAATTGTGGAGGTACCACAGTGATTCCATTGAGTACCCCATGAACCATAGTCCCAGAAGCAAGAAATAATTTTGTAACTACTGTCACCACCTAATTTTAAATCACCAAAATGTTTTAACGGCAAATGTCAACAAATTGCAGATAAATATTTATGTTGTATTTCAAAAATATAGTAGCTGTCTATCTGTGGAATATCAGGACCCAGATTTTCTGATACGCAGGCGGTTTGTTCTGCAGTGCAGGCTAAAGTTATCCTTTACACCCTCTGACCCCAACACCATTGTCCCCCACCAGAGCCCAACAGACTTCCTCAACCCCAGGGTCTGACAACCTTCCCCGCCACCAGACCCAACAGCCCCTCCTCCTTACCAGACCTGCACACCCCTTCTCCCCTCCACAAAACGTGATACATCCGCCCATCCTGACATACATCATTTACCTGGTACCCTTCCTTCCTTGTGCCAAGGCACCCTATCCACTTGGCACCCTACCTACCTGGCAGTTGCCACTCTACCCACATGACTCTTACCCACCTGGCTCACTAACCTTGTACTTACATTATATACTTGATCTTTCACATGAGTTTTCAAAGTGGCTGCCTGCACTGCTGGATATTTAATCACAGAGCATGGCAATTAGTGCCATGAAAAAGGAAGTGTGGTTTGAGTGACCTGTTAGATTTAAAGTACATTTACTATTTCTGCAGGAACTGTAACCAGAATCTTCTTCCTGAAATGTGGAGCCCTTTCTTAATAAAATAAATTAGCAGAGGAATGGCAATCTGAATGTGATTGCTACTGCTTAGAAAATGTAGACCATTATGTTTCAAACATCGCTTAAGTTATGTGTTCATTTGCCTGAACAATTAAAATTCAGCATGTAACACTACACATTTCTATGTCTTATAAAATGGAACAGATATGATCAATTCAATAAGTGTCAAATTAAAATTCATACCTCTCCCCGGCCAAGCTGAAATTCCTGATAATTAGGAAACATACTTCTTATTGAGCTATAAGGACCGGCTATCAAAGAAGTTCCAGTGTCAACTATTGCAGAACAGTGATTCTGACAGATGATAGTGTCATGATATCTTATTCTGGATAGAAAGCATTGAAAAATGTAAGTAATCCCTGAACCATAGACACATTATATGTAGAGCTAATATTGTTCAACATAGCTAGTAATGCAGATACAGATTTTGATTTCAGATAACAAATTGATACTTTGAATCATAAACCTGAATCTTAACTCCCAATAATGGGCAAGTTGGCATCATCTCAGCTTAAAATTCACAAAATCAGAACTAGAAACCCAGGCCAAAATAATCACTTCTGGTTTTAATGAGGGGAGAACAAGGTGCGTGCGACCAATTGTTCAAACGTTATAATGAGGCTTTCTGCCTTCATTTTAACAGTCTGTCTATTTTTCAAATTGTGTCAACCATGTTTCCCAAGCCTCAGGGAAACTCAGCAGGTGAAATGAGGTAAATGCCTTTACAGCATATCTTGTGTGCTCAGGTGGAGTAGGATTGTTACCACAAGGCCCAACAAGTCACCAGTAAACCTGTACCCTACGATCGATCTCTTCTTCCCCCATCCAAATCATCTGACCCCCTTCTCGATCACTATTGGACCATCACCTGCTCCTTGCACCTTACTGCTGCACATGTCTCCACCACCTCAAACAGGGCAACCATAACCACATCCCCAAGCCCCACAAAAATTGTGATTCAGAGCTCCCAAACTGTAAGACATTCATTAAACCATTCTTCTGTATTTCCCAAACTTGAAAGCATTCCCATGTATGGAATATGCATTTTGTCAAAATCTAGGCCATTGTGTTCAACCAACATAAAGCTATGTGCAGAGCCTATACCCAGAGGAAAAGATTTACTTATGTTGAGGAAATAGTACTGATCAAAATTATTGCATTTGCTGGGGTAAAATGTAAAGAGATGAAAGAATAAATGAGACATTTGACTTCAATGATTTGGCTACATCACCAGATATGTCCACATTTGTATCATTCGTTCTTCATTCAGGGGTTTGCGATTACATTCATTCTTAGTAAAATCTTACTGATGTAAATGTAACTCACTGCTGTAGTGGGCATACCCAAGCTTTTGTATAAAAGAAATTTTTAACTCATATTTTACCTCGTATTCTCTCACTTCAAGTATTCTGAAGTGCTGGTTATCAAAAATAAACCTCCACCACTGGTAATTATAATTTTTAAAAAGTAATTCGCAGGTTGCTGGAATCACTGCATGGCAAGGCTATTTTCAATGCTAATTTCGAATTTCAAAGGTGGTGATGTAGACTTATTAGAACGTTTCAGTCAACAGTTAAGAGTTACTCATCTTGTTGCAGCTATGGAGTCATTCTTAAGCCACATTAGGTAAAGATAGAAGATTTCCCTCCTTAAAAACATGAGTGAACCAGATGAGCTTTAACGATAATCTAGTAGTTGCATGGTCACCATTTCTGATGCTATTCTCCAGCTGCTATTTGATTTTATGTCTCTGGATCATCAGTCCTGACCCCTGCGTTACTGGTGCAGTAACATAAGCATTATAATTCAATATCTCTCTGCTGAGTAATATCAGAGCAGCCACTTCATTTGTCGTTGAAAAAGATGTACTGACAGATGGCATGAATGGTCTAATTAGGGTTCACTGCTGGTTCCTGATTACAATTATATAAATAATCTTAAATTTGCATAATTTAGCGATTTATAAAGGTTAAACAGCCTTTCTTAACAATAGTATTTCTGATAGGTTTCATATGATGATAATCCCAGACATAGTCACTGTAGCCATAAAGGACTGATTCAGGCTTCATGTTGAAATGTCTCATTAGAGAGAGAGAGACAGATTATTGATGTTAAATTGAATCTGTGGGTCACCATGGTTCAGGGAAAGGGGTAAGGTTGAGAAGGTGGAATCTTCATGGTGACCTCAACCAAGTGTAGGAATTGAACCCACACACTTTGTGGCACTTTGCATTATGAACCAGCCATCCAGCCAACTGAGCTAATTGACCCCTCTAAGTGTTTCATACGACATCAATATGTATCAACAAAGCAATAATTGCACACTGCCCACTGTAGTACATTGCAGGGAGTTTACAACCCACTTACGTTTGCACGTCAATTTGCCAGTAAGCCTGTTGTGAGACACGGACCCAATTAATTTGGCCTGTGTAGCGTGAGTGATCAATGCCTCCGAGGATCAATTCACCACCATTTTCACTGTCCATTTCTCTAGAAAAACAAAAACATGCTTAGTGCTAAGTTTAAAAAAGGCTTCATGTTGAAAACAAAAACTACAGAATTCCTCACATTAAAATGGCACATTTGTTTCAGAAGCTCATGCTCATATTATTTTGAATGGACACGTGGTCCCTTTTAAATATCTGCCTCTGTGCACAATTATTTAGTTTAAATTAAGATTAAGAGTGTGATTGGCATTCATATGCACCATTTGTAATATTACCACGATTGGCAAGAAAGATAGAATTGATTTGTAGAAACGCAGCATGCTTCTGTGGAAATTTCAGGTTTTAGTTTGAAGAAGAGGTGGCCTAAGATTAAGGGAAAAATTGCAGTTGCCAAAAAATGGTGTTGAAGGTATTATATCCCGATACAAGTTTCCCAAGAGAAAAATTTCATTATTCAATTGAACAGAATTTGTTCCCTGGCAGAGATGCCTAATATCATGGGGTCTTTAAGAACAGATCAATATCATTCTTATCACATTACACTGATTTCTCTTTTGGATGTCTTTCTGCATGTTCAGGATCATAATGCAGAAGTGCATTCGGTAGTGCCTGTTGTCAAACGTTTTCATTATGAGATAATGTTTGGGCTTGCTGTGGGGCACATATGGACACATATTCCATTTGTCGTTTTTATAAATGATTAAGAATAGCTATACACATTTTTTGCTCCTTTTCTTTGAAGTGTAGATAATTGCATTACAAACATTATTTGATTTAATATAATAGAGATGTAAAACAAACCTGTTTATTAGGATGGAAAACATGGGTTCATCCAACAGTCCCTGGTACATCATTCTGTCAAACACAGGAACGGCTCCACCTTCAGCTAAAGAAGGATATCCTAAACCTAAAATACCATCAAAATGTGCTAGAGTAAATGTCGAACCTGGCTCATAGATAGATTCCCCAAATTCTTGTCCATTTACGGTAATGTTTCCAATCTATGAAGAATGAAAAAGAATTACGGGTGTGTATTTAGAAGTCTGAAATCTGACTAATGCAATGATCTGAACCCTGAAAACTGATAGGCATTTTCACCTTCCAGCCATTTATATGATATCTGTATCTTATTTCATGTGTTGTTGGGTGTCTAAAATAAATGGACCCATAGCTTCCATATCACAGTATCTTTGTAATAGTTCGAAGTAATTTCTATACTTAAAAAAAAGTTTTAAAAATATTGCTTTAGTGAAGTTGATGCACATGCTGTCTTGATATTTATTTCATTAGCCTTCATGCAGTTATGAGCTGATAAGCAGAACACTATCCAGACTCTAAACAAAATACATGGTAGCTGCTTTTTAAAGTAGAAGGAGATACTATGACAACGCCACAGTCATCGTGGGGAACAGACAGTCTTAAAGACAATTAATTGAACAGGAAAATAACATAGATTGACTACAATGAGAAAGTAAATACAGTATATTGAGTCATAGAGTCATACAGCACGGAAACAGACCCTTCGGTCCAACTAGTCCATACTGACCATAATTCCAAACTAAACTAGTCCCACCTGCCTGCGCTTGGCCCATATGCCTCCGTACATTTCTTATTCGTGTACTTATTTAAATATCTTTTAAATGTTGTAAATGTACACACATCCACCACTTCCTCTGGAAGTTCATTCCATACACGAACCACTCTGTGTAAAAAAAAAAAATTGCCCCTTTTTCTTAAAATCTTTTTGCTCTCACTTGAAGTCCCCCACCATAGGGAAAAGACACCTGTTATTCACCTTATCTGTACCCCTCATGATTTTATAAACCACTTTAGGTTATTCCTCAACCTCCTGCAGTCTGGTGAGAAAAGTCCCAATCTGTCCAGCCTCTCCTTTTAACTCAAATCGTCTATTCCCAGCAACATCCTGGTAAATCTTTTTTGCACCCTCTCCAATTTAATAATATCCTTCCCGTCACAGCTCAACCAGAACTGGACACAATACTCCAGAAGAAGCCTCACCAATGCCTTGTACAACCTCAACATAACATCCCAACTCCTATACTCAAAGGTCTGAGCAATGACGGCAAGCGTGCCAAATGCCTTCTTAACCACCGTATCTATATGTGACTTCAAAGAATTATGTACCTGAACCCCTAGGTCTCTCTGTTCTACAACACTACATAAGGTCTTACTTTTAATTGTATAAGTCGTGCCCTTGCTTGTTTTACCAAAATGCAATATCCTGCTTTTATCCAGTTTAAATTCCATTTGCCAGTCTTTAGTCCATTGACCCAATTGATCAAGATCTCTTTGTAATCGTAGATAACTTTCTTCACTGTCCACTGTACCACCAATTTTGGTGTCATCTGTAAACTTACTAACCATACCTTCTACGTTCTCATCTAAATCATTTATGTAAAAGACAGACAAAAGTGGACACAGCACCAATCCCTGTGGAACACTGCTGGACACAGACCTCCAGTCCAAAAAACAACCTTTCACCATCACTCTCTGCAACGTGCCTTTAAACCAATTTTGATACAAATGAGCAAGCTCACCCTGAATCCCATGTAGAGCTATGACAAGTAAGAATCATATAAAAATAATAGATGGGGAAGGAAAGTATACCTAGGAAAAACGGAGAAACAGAAAACTACAGGAAATAAATAAATAAAATCAATAAAAACTGAAAGAACTGCGGATGCTGTAAATCAGGAACAAAAACAAAGTTGCTGGAGAAACTCAGCAGGTCTGGCAGCATCTGTGAAGGCAAAAACAGAGTTAACGTTTCGGGTCCGGTGACCCTTCCTCAGAACTGGAAATAAATAAGCTGAGTTGAATGAAATTGAATTAAAGGGATAAAGGAGAAAAGAAAATTAAATTAGCAAGACTTCTTGAAACCCATGGAGAAATGTATTGCTATGAAACAGCATCAATTTCATTCTGCTGGTTTATAGGTTCATTGTTTTCACTATAATGCAGTACAGCACTGAGCATGTTTGAAGCATTATAAAATTGATTGAGACTCTCAGCATGTCAGGTAGCATCTGTGGAGGGAGAAATAGATGTTTCAAGTCTAATATGACTTCCTCATAACATTTCTGAACTGAAAATGTTAACTGACTCTCTATCCACAGTTCCTGCCAGACCTGTTTAGTTTCTCCAGCATTTTCTATGATTATTTCAGATTTCCAGTGTCTGCACTATTTTATTTTTACTAAAGAAATGATTGTTTGTTTCTTTCTTGTAGAAACAAGAACATTTTATGTTCAATCTTTCTAATGGCCCAAATAAAAGTATTTGGCCATTTTAAGTGGATCAAAGCTGTGTATATTATTGAGGATGATAATAATTTATACTAAAAACATTTTGACATATGTCATCGAAGCCATTTATCATTTATTAAACAAAAATGCAGCAGTGAAAACACTATGGAGATACATTTCAATGACCTAACTGTTCACATTGTTCAGTTTAGATATGTTTTAAATAAAAACCTATTAAGAAAAGACACAGAGATGAATTTCATGAGGAGGATCTCATTGTAATCTCTTCCATCCGATCAGCTGAAAAGTCTGCTGGCACCATGCTGACTTTAACCCTTGCAGCTTCCACATTGCTAATATGCCTTTAATGATGTAGGAGTGGGACATCGGCCCTTCAGTAAGTCCCATGTCTGACGTCTTCCAGGCGATCTGATTGGGTGCAGCTCTGTAATCCCAGCAGTGCCAGAAGCAGCAGTTGCTGCTGGGACTGCAAGCAATGCCCAGGAAGAAAGAATACGGACACCAGACTTCCATGTGCATTTTGGTTGGGGAAAGAAGGAAAGAGATCTCACCCAGGCAGGAGCGGGGGTGAGGGAGCAGATTTCAGGTGAAAAATTGCATATGGGGGGGTACCATGAAGGGAATTGGTGCCCCTAATGCCCACAGGGGTCACATCAAAGAAGGTGCTTTCTGTTACCCTCCTGCCTTTGACCAAATAGCAAATTGCTTGGCTGGCTGCCTTCCCCAGCTGCACATACTATTGTGGAGGAGATAGAATGAGGTCCTTATTAAGGGATACATTGGGCATGGGGGTTAGCAGACACCTTACCCGACCCCATTAGATGGTTTACAGGTCAGGGATGGGTGGGAAAGAGGTGGACTTGCCACCTGCTTTGTTTAAAATGCTTCCCACCTTTAAATACTCTGGCGCAGACCTGTAAAATTCAAATCCCTCAGTCCATTTGAGTAAATCTGCTTAGATCCATGCACAGGGCCCACTCAAACAGTATTTGTTTCCTGCGTAATTACTGAGATTCTTTACAAGTTAGTAATGGTTTTACTCAAACTTACTGTGACTTTATCTTTACCCATCATTCCCATGAGTTGGCCAGTGCCATATCGTATGGCAAAAGAGTTTCCTCTGGGAGAATATGATGATGAGAAAAATGATTGAAAGCGTCGATGTCGTTCTAGAAAGAGAAAAGAATGGCTACAATATACAACATTCAACTCCTCTGCCATTTCCTGGCTCCCTGTTGCTATTTCCCCAGCCTCATCCTTTCAGGAACCTATGTTCACTTTGGCCTCTCTCCTACATTTTATATATTTAAAGAAGTTCTTGGTATTAGGAAACCCTATCACTGTCATCTTGGTATTACAAGTTTATCCTTAAAGTTTACTTCCTCCCTCTTTATTACATTTCTTTGGTAAGGTAAATTTAAAGGTTCAATGTGAATATGTTAATGGATGGGTGAATGAATGAATATTGGTGAGTGGGTAGGTGGGGGGAGGCAAGTGGGTAGGATTACTGTAGTATGCACTAAAAAGGATCGCTAATGACATTACAGGAATTGATGTCCAGTCAGCTGACACTCAGTGTAGAAGAAGATACTGTCTTCCCACACTATCTATAATGTACATAGCTCAAAAAAACTGTTCTGGTTACCAAGCTGTGCTCCCTGTCCATCCCTAAGCACATTTGTAAAAGGTAGGGTCGGAAGTGGATAGGCTGGTAGGTAATGAAGTGGATCAGGGAGTAGTCGAGTCAGATCAGGAGGCGTTGTCATGTCCGGTCAGTGGGAAATGTCTGAAGGGGATTCATAAGCTTTGATTAGAATTAGTCAAATTGGGAAAGTCAGATTTGAGGCCAGTCAGGTTTAAGTTGGGAGCTATGTAAGTGGCATGGGATAATTGGGGCTAGTCAGGGCTGAGGTGGTCAGGAAGAGGAGTTGGGTCAGGTCAGGTATCAGGGATGTGCTGGGGGTTGTTTTAGGGGTTAGTCAGCAAGTTCAAGAGTAGCTTCTTCCCTGCTGTTATTAGACTGATGAATGGACTCTCTAATGTCAACTAATGTTGATCTTGTTAATGTTGTTCTTGCCTCGTGCACATCCTGTGTGATGTAATCTGAGTACTCTGTCTGAGATTTTTTCACCCAATGATCTGTATGTCCTATTTACTATAATCTGCCTGTACTGTTCGCAAACAAAGCTTTTTACTGTACTCAGGCACACGTGACAATAAATCAAATCAATCAATCAATTAAGAGATAGTCAGGGGTGGGGGCAACAGTCAGGAGAGTAGTCAAGCATTGAGTATTGCATTGGGTGGGGTGGGATCAATGTAAGTTTTTGGGAGGTAGTTAATCAGAAGTCCTAGGATTTTTTTTGTCGAACATTTCCTGGATAATGATCAGGTAAATACCGCAAACTGTCTCAAGTCTCTAACTCAAGCTTTGGAAACAGCTGGGGACAAGGGAAATTCCCCATCAGAAATTGAAACTTCCCATGGAATTCCTACAGGGGTCTGCAATAATGCAGAGACCAGAAGACCTGCGCCTATATTTACATTTAACTTCCACCCAGGAAGAATAGAGAAGCAAACAGGCAAAATTCCGCAAAGAATTATACACTTACAAGCAAAAATATGGACCTACCCATGAAGGTGAAATTTGTAAATTGACAAGCATTGCTCAGAGAGATTCCAGAATTACCAAACAGATTCCGGATTTGTTTCTATAACGATGGAAGATAAAATAGGGTTGCCATCTGTTGTTGGTTGAAACCAGCAACGCACTGCAACATTTCTATTTGAAATGAGTTAGAATAATTTCTGATCAGAACATAAATTGATATAACTTTGGTTTTACTCACCGCACGCCTTGCTGATGCAGTAGGCTGAAGGCACCCAGAGATTAGATGAGCCAGTGTCAAACACTACAGTAAATGTCTGTGGTGGAGTTCCAATACTAATCTCTCCATAATATTGGGCCTAAGTGTTCAAAGACACAACAATATAAAGCTACTGCACCATCTTAAATATTGATTAAAAAATTCTTCAAACCTAAAAGAACTCCTATTGGATGCCACTGAATTGCTTCCAGAAGATGCTCTCCCGTGTTACCTACTACTCTCTCAGTTTTAGATATCATTTATAAATCCTACCTTCAGGTTTCATAATTTTACTCCCTGGTTAAATTCACTTCTCAGATTGACTCAACAGGGTAGAATTTTAATTTGCAAACTGGATATAAAACAGCTTTTGTGAATTGGATCATTGAAAATGAAAATTGGGCAGCTGATCTGTTTTTACTTCAGATTTTCAACAATGGCACCTCTTTTTATCTCCAGTCATTTTTAAAGATAACTTACATCCATATAATTTGATAGGTGTTCTGAAGTGACACCGACATCTTGCATCATTAAAATTTCAGAAGGATAACAGCTATTGTATTTGTTGTAAAAGGCATCTGAACTGTGATTTTGGAGAAATTCTTCTAGTTCATTTCGTTCGCTCAGGACTCTCCTTATTGTCTTAAAACGAACTAGAGGAATCCTGTAAAATACATTAAATTCTCAAGTAAATACATTGCACTTGAACAAATGCAAAATACAGATCACGAAACACATTCTTATTTTCACTTATTAAAATGCTAGCATTTCAAATTTTTCACTGACTCCTCCACTATTTTTCCACCCTTGAGATCATCTTGGCCTACATATTGTCTATGTACTGAAGAGGCATGGAATTATTGCAGACAATTTCTGTCCATGTATCTTGGAAACATATCCTTTAAAGTGGTTAATCAAGAAGTGTAGCATCAAGAAGCCCTAGCAATATTGAATTGAGAAAGTGGTGAAAAAGGTGCATGGATGCTAGCTTCAGAGCCTCAGAGTACAAAAGAAGTTATCACAAACCTTTCTAAGTATTGCATCAAAATCTGGGATCTATACTTTAGAAAGGCTAGGAAAGCTTTAGAGGAGAGTAGAAAAGTTTTCTGAGAATGATACCAGGTAAGAGGGGTTTCAGTTGTGTGAACAGATTTTAAAAGCTGGGGTTTCATAGAGATGGTCGCTTTCAAAAGCAAAATGAATAGGCACCTGGGGAGAAAAGAAATTGCATGCTGCAGGGTGGACATGTGGGACCAGACCCTGTTGAAAGTCTCAATTGGATTCGCCTCCTTAACACTCTCAGGCTGTGTATTTCAGATTCCCAACACTTGCAGCATGAAATAAACTCTCCTCGTGCAATTTTTGGTCGTTTTGCCAGTCGCCTTATATCAATATCAGAGTACAGTACTAATAATTTTGAATACTTCTATCAAATCTCCTCTCAAACTTCACCTGCAGGAAGTCAACATGGACGTGGCTTCCTTATGCGTTAATCTCTTCTACATCCCGCCTGAACAGCTGAGATCTCAGCTGTAGACAGCTGCTAAATATTAAAAGGCCCTGAGGATGGGCAGCCCCTCTCTCAAAGACCAGGACTGAATTTTAGTCAGCAGAATTTCCACCACCAGGGCAGGAAAAACCTCATCTCTCCAATTGTGAGACCCAGGGCCATATTTTTCCAATTAAATGGTTGCCACCAGGACTGCCTTCCCGATAATGGGCAGAAGCTGACCCCAAGAGCTGTTTTCCAGTCAGAGGCTTCCAGTCAGACACTGTTGGGACTGCAGTTGGAAGGTGAGGTGGATTGCTGCATTCCTCATCTGCACTGTCTATACCCTCTAGAGTATGTGTCTCTGCGTGGCTTAGTGGAAAGGTTGGATGAAAAATCACTAATGTTACCATCGGTAGGAGGCATCATTCTTGAGAAACTACAACTTGTTATCATCTAATATAGTCTGAAGGGATAGCCGAGACCTAATGGAATGAGGGAACATGTGATATATTTAGTAATTAAAGGTTAACTGGGTGTGATTTACATGCATAAATATGGGGAGCCACTAATCAGTGCGGTGTGAATCAGTGCGGTGTGAATTTTATGTGATTGTGGTTAATGGAAATAAACCTCTTGTTGAAAGTGTGTACGTATACTCTTGTTCAAAAACATTTATCTTGTATCTAACAATGAGAGAGGGTTATTGAGTAAAAATTTGGGGTATGATTTACTCAGCCCTGTTTTTTGGAAGTAAGCTTTATGACAGTGGAAAAATGAAGTAACTATGTGGATCTGTTATTTCTTTACCACAGAGGAAACAAGGTACAGCCTTGGCACTTTCATTACCGTACAGAAGCAAGACAAGACGCAAAGTTTATCTTTAGAATTTGGAGCCTGATGATTTGAACATGGGTAAAAGTTTGGGCAGATTGTTAATTTTAATGGAAAAAAAATAATCAAAAAGATTACTTATTGGCTGCTTATGAGGTGTCATCAGATTTTGACAGGTTTGGGAAGACTGAAGATAGTATTACAGATGAGTACATAACATAACTCAGTAGATGATATGCAAGAGTGTAGAAATTCCGTTTAGAAATTCCCCAATCTGTATTAGCATTTATGTTATTGGACTGTGCTAAAGTATTAAGTGTGGATAGAGTTCTAGTATTGACAGGAGTTAAAATTGCATATAAACATACACAAATGTTGGAAGCACTAATAATAATATTCAGGAAGCATTCTTTTTCAACAGCATGTGGGCCATCAGTGACATTATAGAAAGTAGAGAACACAGTGTCAATAAATTGGTAACAGTGTCTGGATACAGGTTGTAGGTGACAGTATGAAAGGAGAACTGTAACTGAAAAAAATTAATACAGAAGTTGCTGGAAAAGCTGAGCAGGTCTGGCAGCATCTGTGAAGAAAAATTAGAGTTAACAATTCAGGCCTGGTGACCCTTCCTCAGAACCGGACTCAAAACATTAACTGATTTTTCTTCACAGACGCTGCCAGATCTGCTGAGCTTTTCCAGCAACTTCTGGTTTTGTTCCTGGTTTACAGCATCCACAGTTCTTTTGGTTTTTAAAATTATTACAGAAATGTCTAAATACCATGTCTTTTTTATTTTTGCATTTTTAAAAACTGTGGACTGAAATGTGAAACCTGGTCTGTGCTTTCAATAACACATGGTCTAAAAATAAGGTAGATTGGGATACTGAGCATTCTTCAAGAAAAAAATGCTGAGACTTAGTATGACTCCAGGAATTGTGGGACTTGAGTTACTACACACTACCCCAGTGGTCAGAATAAATGCTATTGATAATTTTGAGAAGAAAACTGAATTTGAGATTGACAAGAGGATGAATCCCACAAATGCACAGGGTATAGTCATTCAATGTTTTAGGTGCAATTCAAGGTACCATTACGTCATGAACTGTCCCAAATGGTGTAAGTGAATATTCAAAACTAAATACAACACAGAAAATTAAGAGGAAGAAATAGAATCAAAGAGAGCATTGTTTAGATCACAAGATGTTTCACCCAGTAATAAATGGGTGGCAGAGTCTTTCAATTGTACGGTATTGGAGTGCAGGTAGATGCCTACAGTGTATGGAATATACTCACTAAAATGCTACCCAGACTCTAAGCAATAAGGATTGGACAAAGTTAAGGAGTTCTACCAGTTTTTGATTTTGGAGATGATAACACCAAAACTAAAGAAAAGTCAAGTTAATAAAAGATGCCAAACAAGAAGAATTGGCCAGACAGGGATGGTTGTTCCCTACAACGATAGTGGATAAGCACTGAAAAGGTGTCTCCTGTTGGGAATTGTAAGGCTAAAGTAAGGCTAGTGGCATGAGGTTTTGAAGCAAAACTACAGGAACAAGATATAAACTGTAGATTCATTGATAGCAGGAAAAACAATTTTGAAAACATTCTTGGCTTTGTTAGCAACAAAAATTTAGGAGTATTGATCAATTGACATTAAAGCTATATTTCTGCAGGAAGATCAGCTCAACAGGGAAGTTCATCCTTAAAAGAGGCACCAAATGCAGTGGGGACACTCTGGAAGTTAAATGAATGCATATATGGTTTAAATGATGTTCTAGAGTTCGGTACTTCTCAGTAGGGTCTGTCTTATTAAAATTGGGCTAATTGAGTCAAAATCAGACCCTGCCATGTTTCAACTGATACCATGAGAGGCATCTGTCAGACATCTTTATGATGCACATAGACACATTTGGTTGAGTGACAGCAGTGAATTTGAAAACATTGTCATAGATGGGATCAAAGCAGAATTCAAAATTGGAAACAAACAGAATGCAAGAGAAACACAGTTGGTCTGGCAGCTTCTATGGACAGAGAAGAAGAGAGTTAAAGTTTCTTGAGTCCAGTATGACTTCTGAATGGTCATGCCAGACTTGTAATGTTAACTTTAGGTTTCATGTGGAGACAGAAACAATGTTTTTAGTGATGCTTCTTCTGAAAATCTGCGATGTGTTCTCAAGTGCAGGAGGGTTTATAATTTTTCTTTGGGAAAGAGAAATACATTTTGTCCTTAGCTTGGGAAGCTACAAAGATCAGAATAGTAGTAAATAGTACTTTAACAGCAGAGCTCTCACTCTTGGTGAGGTTAAGAATTTGATAGTTCTAGAAAGATGTTGGCAGCAGGACCCATTGCAAGTTACATTGATAATGATCACTATGGTGTAACATACAAGTCAAAATGTGCAGATGAAAAAAGACTGAGGATTGATATTGCAGTTTTAAAACAGATAATGGAGAATGAGGAAAGCTCCAAATTGAAATGAATGGATTGCACCAGTCAGCTGTCTAATTTCTTTCCAAAAAAAGAGCAAGCTCTAAGAACCTGTTGAACATACTGGAAAACAGATGCTTGGAACTTTAATATGTAAAGAAATAAAGGAGAATATATGTTGTGGCTTTTTATATTTTGTTTTGCCTCCTTTAATTATATAATTCGTATATTTAAAAAGTAAAAGTGAATTTGTTATCATTTAATGGTCTGAAGAGAAGCCTGAGAGCTAATGAAATGAGGAAACCAGTGAGATTTATTTTGAGTTAATTGGGTTTGAATTGGTAGTATAAACATGGGCAACTAAAAATCAGTGGGGTATGAGTTTTATGAAGTGTGTTTAACTGAAATAAAGATCTCACTAACGACTGGGACTCTGTTCAAAAACATTTATCTTCTACTGTATAACGTTACTAATTTGAATAAGAGCAGAAAATGTTGGAGAAACACAGCAGATCTAGCAGCATCTGTAGAGAGAAAGAGTTAACACGTCAAGGCTGGTATGACTCTTCTTCCAAGATGTATCTGCAAGTTCACCTGCAAGCCACACACCATCCTGGAATTGGAACAATACTTTTTCACTTATTTATTTTATTGGATGTGAGCATGGCCAGCACTTGTTGTCATCCCTAACTGTCTTTGAACTAAATGGTTTGCTAGGCCATTTCATAGGGTGAATATTGCTATCAGTCTGGAGTCATATATAGGCCGGATTGGGTAATTGTGGTAGATTTCATTCCTAAAAGGACATTGCTAAACCATATCGGCTTTTACTACAATTGACAATTTCGGTAATGGTGACATGAACTAGCTTCATATTCCAGACTTAATAATTGAATTTAATTTCCAACAACTTATAAAATTACTTATCACCATTCTTTTGTTGTTGTTGGGCCAAAATCCTGGAACACCCTTCCAAACAGTACTATGGGTATACCTACACCAAATGGACCACAGCAGTTCAAAAAGGCAGCTCATTATTGTCTTTTCAGGGGCAATTAAGGATAAGCAGTAAATGATGGCCATAGCTAGTGATGCCCACATCTCTCGAATAAACTTATCCTCATGAGAAAAAGAGGCCCAGAACTCTACCACCCATTGTGTGAAAAAGGACTTTCCAATTTCATGTCTACATCAAACTTTAAGGTGGTGCCTCCACATTCTGGATTTCTCCATCAAACAAAATAGCTTCATATACTGATTGGGCAAAATGGCAGTTACCTCTCCATGTGGAAAAGTGTGAGGGTCATCCACTTTGGATGTAGGAACGTAGGAGGATTATTGGGATTTTGATGCCCTTGTACACCCAGCAGTGAAAGCTACACAGATTGACCTAATTAAATTCTTTACCAAATCTCTTATCATTTTAAACACCACAGTAAGGTTAGTGAAGAACATTCTAATGCAAGGGAATACAGACCAAGTTCATGCAAACTGTCCTCAAATTAACCCTTTAAACTTCACTGAATTCTGTACTCTTTGCCTTTCAAGGTCAACATATCTAGAAGGTACAATATTCAAAACTGCAGTATTTCCAACCAGGTCTCGTGAAGGATTTGTACAACTCAAACTTGCTTAGCTTTATTTTCCAATTCCCTTGCAATAAAGTCAACACAATTCACTATTTTAATTTACTTTTTGTAACTGTGTATTAGCTTTTAGCAATCTGTGTACATAGAGACATAATTCCTTTGCTTTTCCATAGTCACTTGACATTTAAACATTCCAATTTGCCAATCTTCAACCCATTGTGAAAGCACCAGCTATTACAGTCCCTTTTACCAGGGTTCTGCTCAATCTTTTAGTTGCATACAGCTTTTTAAGTACCGAGTTTAGGACTTGGTATGCACCCAATTCTGAATTTTCCACAACCTTCACCCATGCATCTGGCATTATTTTGTATAGGCCAACCTAGAATTTCTGACCAAATCAGCGAGTGCAAAATGTATGTGCATAAATCTTTTTAGGGCGCTTATGATGCTTTTGTCAATATTTTTTCATATTTTTGATTACAGTTAACTTTTAGAAAATGCAGTTTTGCATTCTTGTGTTATCTTCCAAACTAATATTTCATTTGGGTGCTTTTTCATACTTTGCCACTAAACGTAAATATTTTACATTCTTCAAAGCATGCTAAGTGCAAGAAATTTCCAAACAAAAGTTCCATGCTCAAATAGACAGTGTCCAATACTCACCAATGATTTTAAATTGTTGTTACACAATTGAAATTAACAGCAAGTACAAAAATAACATTAAGTTTTTATTTCACATATTTTCATGCTAATCAAAAGGCAACTAGGGCACAATTTTGAGTTCAGTACCTAACCATCAGTAATAGACTGACAATTATAGTATTCAGTTTATTTAGTTCCATTGCTATTAAAAAAATTGTATTTTTATCTGTTCACCTCGATGAAAAACACTAACCATGGTCCAGTTTAAGGATTGAAGCCTCTGCAATGATGGGGTTTATATACTGGGTGAAGGTATGAGCTTCATGCCACATTTTGTTTTATAATCAACTTTCTAGTACAATTTGCAGCAATATCATAAAAGCAAAATAATGCTGATGCTGGAGATCCAAAATAGACACAGAAAGTGGTAGAGTAACCCAGCAGTTCTAACAACATGTGGAGAGAGGAACAGAGTTAATATTTCAAGTTCAATGCCTCTTATTCAGAACGCAAGTGATCAGAAGAAGTCATTGGATTTAAAATGTTAACATGTTTGGCAGTAACATTGTTTTATTGTTTAAATGCATTAATAACCCAGATGGAAACAAGATAAGAATATGAACTGCAAGCTCATTAATTCTATCATACCTTCAAAATCAGATTTTATCCAATCTTCTAAAAAGATCCATATGAGTTTATTTCCATTCAGATGAATATTTCAAATTATGTATTTTGATTCAAGATATTGCATTCACTTCAGTACCTTTAAAAGATCAGAAATCACTCACCTGATGACCGATTCTGTAAGGTAGATTGAAACTAAAACTATTATCAACCACTTCATTTCTGCTTTGACTGAACAGATGTAATTGGAGCTGGTCACTTCACTGTAGATCAGTAACACTGAAGTGGTTCGATGAATTTATTGAACTTTCTTCAAGACCCCGTGGTAGACAAGGTAAACAAAAGGTATCGTCACAGTTTGGCAGCAAGAAGTCCATAGTTTACATTATGCAATAGTAATTCTTGGTTTGAAGTTTTTGTGACTTCAAAATAACCACTGTATTTTAGATTAGCAAAACAATGACCAAATTACTGTCTGTTTCTAAACAACTTTTGGTCTAATCACAGCATCTGTTTTTCAGTTTGGTACTTCCTTGTGCATTTGCTTCCATGGTGCTGCCCTGAAGACATCATCAACACTTAATGTGAGCACCTCCCAAACACTTTGCACCACTCTCCCAATGCCTAGAAGCACCTACAAATAGGCTAAACGCTTTTTTACTAATTTCTTGGAAGCGCAGCTATATCTGTCAGATGTTTTGATGCAGTTGACCTCATAGAGTTCAAATCTCTTTATTTTCTCTTTTTGAATAACTGTTGCATCATTTAAGTGGTGGGAGGTGCAATGTCCTTTGTAATTGACTGCTGCAAATTGAAAACCCACTTTAAGAACGTCATTTAAAAAGTTAGTACTTAAATGAATACAGCAGTTTTTTAGATTTGTTCATGGGATGTAGGCATTGCTGGTTGGTTCAGCGTTTACTGCCCATCCCTAATTGTCCAGAGGACAGTTAACAGTCAGTCACATTGCCGTGGACTTGGAGTCACATGTAGGCCAGACCAGATAAAGACAGCAGAGTTCCTTCCCTATAAGGTCATTGAACCAATTTTTTTAAAAATAACAATCAATATGGTCACCATTAGACGAGCTTTAAGTTCCAGATATTTTAAACAGGCATTTTTAAATTAGGTGGGATTTGAACCCATGACCCCAGAACATTAGCCTAGCTTCTGGATTACTAATCCAGTGACATAACCATTACATCCTCTGTTGTCCTTCCAAACAAGTGTTGCACTTACCATAAGGATTCTGAGTTGAGGTTAAGTACTGGTAAATATAAGTCAAAAGTTTTTTTTTTAGAAAAGATACATATTTGTTAAATCCTATGTCCTTCTACTACATGTGCTTCTTGCATTTAGTTACATTATGCTGTTTCTATGGTCATGTACCACCTTAATGTTAACTGTATGTAATATCTTGCTGCTCATGTAGGCAACACAGTTGTTGTGAGGAGTCCTGATAGGAATGTAGGGACCCACCCGCTAGGCCCTGGATTCTTGGCAACTCTGGGCCTGCCCAGTGGGGAAAGTTCTGTCTAAATGGTGTCACCTTTTCTACAATGAACATATTGAATGTATTACCCAGATATGCTATATCCATGCATGACTGATTTAACGGATTTATTTTCACTTTAGTGACGTGAAAGTATCTGATAGAATTAAATCTGTAATGTTGGGTAATTTTCGTTATGCAAAGAGCCATCCTTACAGCAGAAATGACCTGCAGGTTAGCCTAGCTAGATGGTATGGTGACTGGCAACTCTCTAGTGAGAGAGAAGCAGCAAAGACATAATTCATCGGATGTGCCCAGATAGAAGTGTGGTGCAGGATACTGATGAATATAAATAGTACATTAGGTGTTGATGCATGTGCATTTGATGTCCTGTCATGAACACATTTTCCTCATTTCACTTATATGTAAACACCTCAAAGTAATTCCCATCGTAAATATATTATTTGTTGCAATTGTGCCAGCCAGCAAGAATTTTGGGGAACATCTAAAAGAAAAAATATTCATGTATAAATTGCACTACATTACAACTAAACAATAATGCTTTTAATGAAAATAAAGCAGTCTTAATATTATTTTTTTAGGAAGGCCATTGTATTAACCACATGCTCATTTTTTGTGGTGAGCTGAGGAATAATGGGAATAAAGATAAGACATACAAGTTTAACTGGGTTTTGATCAATATAATGTGTATATCATTTTGTGACTGAAGGCCACCAATGCATATCCCTCTCTCCCAGTTTTCTATGCCGTAAAGTGCAAACTGCATGAACCAAATATTCATCCAACATACCTCAGTAACATTACAAGATGGAGATTCATAAATCCAGAGTCTCAGACCTGGCACGTCTTCTGAGTCAAATCTTAATAATATAATTGGATTTTGAAGAAATGTCATCTATTCAGAAGATTTTATTTTATTAGGTTGCAAATGTGTTAAACCCTATGTACATCTAAGAGTAGGATAAAACAGTAACTGGCAAAATCTCAACTGGCAGTTAGATCAGTGACATATTTAGCAGCTTATTTATCCTCTTGCTGTGAAAATTAATTTTCTGGATATTTGTATCTGATAAGGAAAACCTTACATTTTTCTATGCTTTTTGATTCTGCATCAACAGTATTGATCTGTAACCTTCACATGCAATCTGTTGGTTCAGCACTAAAGGGACATCTTGACCTGCTACTGCTGATAGAACATTGCGCTACACCAAGTTATGTTTGCTAAATTCAACAAAGTATTGGAAAGGCAAACAATCTATGGGAAAATTAACCATTATAGTGTCAGCGTATGTGTAGTGATTATGCATTTGAACATTTTCATTCTGGACACAATTTTAAGAGTTGCACATAGTACAGGAACAAATCTAATGGGATCCTTTATTTAATTTTTATTTTGCAATGTATCCCTTGGCTCAATAATGGCAGCCTTGTCTTGTGTGTTTAAGTCCAGCTCAGGAACTTTTGCTCATATCTAGGGTGACACTTCAGTACAGTTCAGCAACATATTTTATGTGAAATATCAAACATGGATCCTATCTGCTCATTTGGGTGGACATAAAAGCATTCCATAGCACTATTTGAATGGGGAATTGGGGGCTGGAGGACACTTGGGAATGGAACTCTTCCACTCTGCTAGCCAAAATTTAGCTCTCAACAAACACCACTAAAACAGGCTCTTCATGGGGGTGGCATGATGGCTCTGTGGTTAGCACTGCTGCCTCTCAGTGCCAGGGACTTGGGTTCAGTTCCACCCTTGGTGACCATCTGTGTGGAGTTTGCACATTCTCCCTGTGTCTGCATGGGTTTCCTTCCCCCAGTCCAAAGATGTGCAGGGTAGGTGGATTGGCCATGCTAAATTGTCCATAGTGCCAAGTGATCTTTAGATTAGGTGGGTTAGACATGGGAAATTAGGGGTAGGGAAATGGCTCTGGGTGGGATGCACTTCAGAAGTGTATTGTGGACTTGGTGGGCCAAATAGCCTGTTTCCACACTCTAGGGATTCTATGATTTCATTTATTGCTCCTTGTGAGATCTTGATAGGCACAGACTGACTGCTATACTTGTCCACATTTCAATAGTAATGTCAAAATACAGTTCTCCTCCATTGCAAAGCTCTTTGGAAGTTCCGAAGGCATGAAAGATGCTATGGAAATGCTGTCTTTCCATTTCTATTGACTTGCTGCGTGACTGAGTTCATTGTTTTTAATACTTAGCACTTGTTAGCCCTTTAGTTATTTTATTTTGACAGAAGTGGAATTACTTTTAGAACAGCTATATAAATACAGAACGACAGTAATAAATATTCAGCATTCTTGAGTTACAGCTACATTAATTTCTAAGTGTGCTGCTTTTGAAATGATAGTCTAAACGTCTTGATACAGGTACAAGATTTGCAAATTAACCTGTTGCAAAGTGTTACTAGGTACCTCTGGAGCATACGGAGCTGTTGGCTCAGAAGTAGCCGCTGCACCATAACAGCCCCTCACTTTGATATAGGTACCAGATATTTTCCTAATCATTGTGTTCACAGTTATTGGTTATACACTTTTGGAGCACATGGGAGCCCAGGCCTGAGGAAGGGTCAACCGGACCCAAAACGTTAACTCTGATATAACAAGGTGTAGAGCTGGATGAACACAGCAGGCCAGGCAGCATCAGAGGAGCAGGAAAGCTGACGTTTCGGGTCTGGACGCTTCTTCAGAAATGTTAACTCTGATTTTTCTTTACAGATGGCGGCACGGTGGCTCTGTGGTTAGCACTGCTGCCACACAGCGCCATGGACCTGGGTTTGATTCCATCCTAGGATGACCGTCCGTGTACAGTTTGCACATTTTCCCCATGTCTGCATGGGTTTCCTCCCACAGTCCAAAGATGTGCAGGGTTGGTGGATTGGCCGTGCTAAATTGCCCATAGTGTTCAGGGATGTGTGGATTTGGTGGGTTATAGGAGGATGGGTTTGGGTGGGATGCTGCAAGGGTCAGTGTGGACTTATTGGGCCAAAGGGCCTGTTTCTACACTGTAGGGATTCTATGATTCTATGCTGCCAGACCTGCTGAGCTTTTCCAGCAACTTCTGTTTTTGAACCGAGGCCTTCTGGTTAAATTAGTGGGGAGACTACCACTACAGCACGTCCCGTTACTGTCTCATTAATCGGGTTAAATTGTATACATGTTATTCTGGGAAGACAACAATGGTATAATTAATTATGACATTATTGCAATGAGCATTACTCGTGTTCGAATCTCTTGTGAACAGGGCATGAATTGAAATTCTAGAGGAAGAAGGAAATGGATGATTTAAAAAAAACGGGGGAGCTAATAGATCAAGACAGATATACGCAAATCCATTGCTCCAACTTGAAAGATAATAAAACATCCCTGCATGAAGACAGTTCTTTCTATTCTAACATGCGGTATGTTCAGCCGTTACCTCTGATCAAAGGTAACACACAAAAATACCAGCCTGGTGTTTCTGTTCCGTTACGCCGATTTCTCACTTGGTGCAATTTGCCTGATATCGACATACCCAGCTGAAAAGGATCACGGAATTTTAAGCACAAATTGCATTCAATGCATCTCGCGATCCTTTGCAAAATGAAACATAAATCTGGCCAAGCTCCCAGCATGAATGAATCACCGCTGGCAGTTTATATTCACTATGCTCGTTTGCAGACCTCTGAATAGATGGACAATTACGCTGACTCGACTGGATGTAAGGAAATAGAACGGTCCTAACAGCTTGTAAATGTTTATTTTTAATTGCACCTAGAAACCGACCATTCCGACCACTATTGCCAACGTTTTATAGAAAGTTATTCATTTGAAGTCAGGTCGCTCGCAAATATTGATTAGGATTGATTTTTTTTGCAATGAATCCATTTGCATTAATTAAACTTCAACAAGTTACCACTTACAAATATATCCTACAGTATTTTCCAAAACGATCAAGGCAGATTTTGTGTTCGGCGACATCTGAATAATTTTGAGAAGATACTGGTGAAAAAAAATGCACTGCTCAAAATGATATCTCCGATTGTGTCAGATTGGAAACGCTATCGCCTGATCTGTGTGGGGTGTTTATGAATTGAGCGAGACATGCAACTGAACAGAATAAAGGCAGGTGGAATGTAAGGGCAGTTGACCGTACATGAAATAAATGGTGCTGTATTGATATTATTGAAAAAGCAGAGGATCCAGTACAACTACGAATCTTAGTCGATTTGGAATTTCAATGTGTCCAATCAAAGCAGAACTGCAATCACTCTTACAATTACAATGCTGAACTGTTTACTATAGCTTCAACAGTATAATATGAGGCAATGGAGCTGGTGCCTTGATTATATAGTACTTGGTTCAATTGCATTTTGATTACTAGTCTTGACACAGAGAGACAGAGGGAAATTGTGATCTCAGGAGGAGGTTTCAGGTGCTATAAGGATGGTCCTTAGAATCAGAAGGACGCGGAAGAATGCAAAAGAAAGACTGCAAAATAATCTATTTCCGTTTATGTATAGAGGCATGTCTAGGGATAAAATAGATCCATAAAATTGCTTCAACCAAATTGTGTGCAGAATGAAGGGTAAGCATGTTGAAGTTGGTAGATTAAAGATGTAGGACTAACATTTGGAAGTTCTTCACACACTGGGTGACCTACATATGGAGTGAGCTTTCAAGTGAAGACAAAATCCTGGAACATTTAAACAAATTGTGGTTGGGAATTTTTTTGTTACGTTGGCAACGCTGGCAAAACCAGCATTTGTCATCGATCCCTGCTAGATCATGTCAGGTGGCGGTTAATAGTCAACTACACTGCTATAGATTTGGACTCACAAGCAGGCTGGACCAGGTAAGTGTGGCAGATTTCCTTCCCTAAATGGGCACATGGATGACATTCAAGTCAGTGAGACATGATTTCCCATGCACAAAGCCACGCTATCCCTAATCAGTCCTTGCCTGTCAAAATGTAAATTCTTTCCCTAAAGGACATGAGTGAACCAGCTGGATTTTTATGACAATCCACAACAGTTTCATGGTCACGTTTAAGGCTTTTAATCAGATTTTTAAAAATTGAAATCAAATTCCATCACCTCCCATGTTGAGATACAAATGTGTCCCCAGAATATTACATCGGATCTCTGGATTAATAGTCCAGTGATTATTCCACTGTCCATTGCCTCCCACATTGTTCAGACTATAAGGAATGGGAGTTGGCCATTCGGCCTCTCGGGCCTGCTCCACCATTTAATAGGATCGAAAATGTCTTATCTTGACCTAAGATTTGGTGGAATCGATTCGTTCCTGACAGATGTGATCGAAATGCAAACGGAGGTGGGAGCGAGGTAAGGCGGGGGGAGCAGCCAAATATAAACAGCAAGAAAATATCGCAGGCTGTTGTCCTGGGAAGATGTCAAGAAGCAGCACTGGCTGGAATGTTTCTCTTGCTTTTCCCAGCTGTTGTGGCTGCATTTCCTATAAACCCTATTATGTGGCGCATCAGACAGAAAAGCATAAAAAAAGTTTCATTGATAAAAACGAGTGCTATAGAGTCCCCACATTCACACTGCATCATTTCTTTATGTATGAGAAACAAATTAGGGACAATGGTTCTAGGGATCTGACTTGAATTAAATATTGCCCGAAGTTTGAAAAATTGAGTTATGTGTGAGAGACCGGGCCGCATAGCATTTCAGTGAAGTGTGATTCAGAGACCACTGCTTTCAGGTTTGGCAAATATCTCTGACAAGAGCACCACTCAGCTCTGTAGATAAGGAAGGGCGCTGACAATGTGTGCTGGATTCTTCCAGTGAAAGCGAACTTATATGGTCCTCACTGTAAGGTCACGTCCAACTCGCTCTGCAGCCTACACTTAGTGCAGTTATCAGGAAAACTCTCGGTGAGTTCCAACCATTTAAAAAGAGAGGGGAACCTTTTTTTTCTCTTTGTAAAGCTCAGGAGTAGGGGAGCATTCTGCAGTTTGAAGGATCATGCAGCGGGCGTGGGAATGGGCAATGCTCTGATGTCCGTCGTTGCTTTCTTCCCGTCGAAATCGTGCCAGAAATTCCTTCTGGGGGGCGACATCGAGGAGATGCCGCCGGACAAAATGTTGGATTTGAGCGGGAAGCATCTGAGGAAGTTTCCCGTGCAGGTCTGCGCGTTTACACAGCTCCTGAAACTGTACCTCAGCAACAACAACCTGAGCAGCCTGCCCGCCGAGCTCCAGCTGCTGGGCTGCCTGCAGATCCTGGCGCTGGACTTCAATCGTTTCCGGGAGCTCCCAGCCGCGGTGTGCCGTCTCCGCCAGCTCTCCATCCTGTACCTGGGCAACAACAGCCTGTGTGACCTGCCGGCCGAGCTCAGCTCGCTGACCGACCTCAAGACGCTGTGGATCGAATGCAACTGCTTCGAGAGCGTGCCGCAGGTCATCGCCGAGCTCAGGCAGCTGCGGGTCCTCCACGCCGGCTGCAACCAGCTGGGGGAGCTGCCGCGGGAGATGCGGCGGCTCCAGCAGCTGCAGAGCATCTGGTTGCCGGGCAACCAGCTCAGCGACTTCCCGCCGGTCCTGCTGGAGATGGAGAGCCTGGAGGTCATCGACGTGGACCGGAACAAAATCAGGTGCTTCCCCAGTTTGGCGCACATGAAGAACCTGAAACTGGTGATGTACGACCACAACCCGTGCAAGAACGCCCCCAGGGTGGCCGAGGAGGTCAGGAGGGTGGGGCGCTGGGCTGACTACCGCCCCGAGGACCACATTAAATCAGCAGCAGAGATACTGCCCGAGCAAGTGGGAGAAAGCATGGACATTGAAACAACAGAGGAGAGTGGTCAAAACCAGGATTTCGCTTAAAAAAAGGTGTAAAAAGTTTTTTTAACGCCATTTGACATCTAAGAAATGTTATTTTCAAGCTTCTAGTTTTGCTTTAAAATATGCATAAAGTACTAAAGCATTGTTTTGCTTTCTTCTGAGGAATATTAACAGAATGTGGCACTGTCCTTCCAGTGACATCTCCCCCTAGTACTTCATTACAAGTCGCAATAATAAAGCAGCAGGGCTAGGGCCCCTCTTGGGCACAGTCGTCGTGTCCCTGTCTCTGAACCAGGAGGTCCCAGTTACTCCACAGGTCATAAAGTCATACAGCACAGAAACATTCCCTTCACTCCAACCAGGCTATGCCAAACATAATCCCAGACTAAACTTGTCCCACCTGCCTGCTCCTTCCAAACTTTTCCTATTCATGTAATCTGCAAATGTATTTTAAACGTTGTAATTGTACCCACATCCACCACTTCCTCAGTACGTTCACTCCACACAAGAACCACCCACTGAATGGGTTGATTTGAAAAATACCTAAAGCTAGAAAATGCTGCAAATACTCAGCAAGTTATGCAGCACCTGTGGAGGGAAGAACAGAGTTAGTGATATTAGAAATGTAAAATAATTTCAAGTACAAAATGGGAGGGGGTTAGGAACACAACACTTAAAGGGAATCAAATGCAAAAGGAATGACCAGGAAGTAAAAGGAATGATAATAGGATACTCAAAAAGAAACAAAAGATGGAAATAAAAGGTGAAAATAGGCAGAGCAGAATAAGGACCAGTCACTGTTCAATTTTATTAAGCAAGGGTATCCAGGCTGGCATGTGGAGTTAGGCCACAGATCAGCCATGATCTTACTGAATGGCAGAATAGGCTCAATAGGCTCAAGTAGGCTGAATGGCCTACTTCTCTTCCTCTGTTTCTAAGTTGTGTTGAATTCCATGTTGAGTCTGAAAGGCTGTAAAATACCCTACCAACAGATAAAGTGCTGTAATTCAAATTTCTGTTGAATTTCATTGGAAGTTTAGGAGGCAGTAAGGTTAGAATAAGGTGAAGAGATGAAATGACTGGAAGTGGAAACTTGGAGCAATTAGTTAATGGGCTAAATGGAGGTATTCTGCAAAGCAGTTATCCAGTATGAATTTGGTCTCCCTCATGTAGAGGCAGCATCACGAGCAATCTGATTTTAGCCCACAGAGCCAATTTTCCATGTTGACTTTCACCTTATTTGGTGTTTTCTCATCTGTATCTGTGATTATCACTTAAAGCCTTTTAAATCTCTTTGCCTTTTCTGGTTCTGATGAAAGATCATTATGTCATTCGCCTTTCCTGTTAACTCTGATTATGTCTCTACAAATGTTGCCCAGTCTGCAGATAGTCGAGGCATTTTCTGTTTTTATGTCAAATTTGAAGCGTCTACAGTATTTTGCTTTTCTAATGTAATCTTTCATCTCATTTTTATATTGTAAATAACAGCAGTACTGTACATTCATCTTCCAAATCTCCAATCAAAAGATGAAGAAAACCTAAAGACTGCTAGGCAGAACACAAAATTTGGAGAAAGCTATGGTGGAATGTAAAAGGAATAACACAAACTGTAGATTTAATAAACTATGTCCCACATGCATTTTGATAGTGGAAGACAAACCTTAGAAGCTAACAATGGGGAAAAAACATTACTGATCTTCAAACAATACAATGCAAAATTGCAAAAATAATATTTGTCATTCTCAGTAATACAATGCAAAATTGCAAAAATAATATTTGTCATTCTCAGTTCCCAGATGTCAAAAGCACCCCAAGAAAATAACAGCCCCAAGGGGAATCTGGCGCCTCCTATAATACAGCCATTGCTTTGTTTCATACGGTTGCTTCTGACAGTATGCTTGGCATTGGAGATTAAGTCTATGACGTGAAAAGAGCATTACTGTCATCTAACCTCTTCTGCGTCTGGCCTATGAACAAATCACTTTAGCACTTCATATTCTAAGTGGGCATGATTTAATTCCACAGCACTGATACTACTTGGTCACAGGAATTCAGAATTTTGCTTTAGTATGTTAACATTTTGGAGACTGCTCTAAACACAATAAGATAGCCTTTGCACAGCGTCAACCAACCAAGTCCCTACCAACAACACTTCAGAAATTATGCAAGCAGAAAGTGATGGCTACCATGCCTTCCTGCATTAATCTTGGAGTAAAGGGCAGATCACTTTTAACTTATGCATCAAATAGCACGTGCCATTCTTTTTTTTAAGAATTTAGAATGCAAGACCACTATTTGAAAGTGCTCTTGCTTTCTCCAACCTCCAATCCATCTAATGCATCAAAATTTTCCAAATATGTTTTCTCTTTTGAGTAATTCCTAAGAAAATGCTCTTGGAGGATAGTAATGTCTAGTTTTCCACAGGGGCACTAGCTTTCACGTTATTTAGGATTTTTGGAATGACTTGACAATTCATTGCAATTAATCATAGTTTCTGAGCAACGGACCCATACTTGAATCCCATATATTCACAGTTACTCTGTTGTCACCAAAGTCACTCTACAGAAACAGTGATTTATCACCATCGAAAGCCTATTTAGTTATGATGCATTTCCAGAAGAGGGTCAATATGCTGTCCTCTTGCTACCAGTGTGCCAAAAAAATTGGTGCAACATTGGCACCGAAGGTACAGTGTAAATGACAGCATTAAACTGCAGTGCAGATCTTATTTTTGATGATCTCTCCTAGATACTTCACATATCAACATCACCCTTGCTATTTGATGGATAAAGTATTTTACATATATGTAGTTTTTAATGATATTTTAAATTGATCTAATTTATTTTTAATGTTACGTGTACTAAAGTACAAATGTACAAATCCATGATGCATTAAAGTTTCCCCTAAGATATGTGTTTATATTCCATGAGATTTGAGGGAGGGTCCTTTGTCTGAACAATCACGTTCATGTGACAATTGCTGTATGACTTGGTGAATTTCCAATTCTTTGTGTTTTTGTTTGTGGTGATTTGCTTTACAGTCAAAATATATTTTGCATTGCAATAATGTTTGTGGTGACCTTTTGAATATCACTGTAACATAAATTCTGAGGAAAGTACGCTAGCAGTAAGAGCCTTCAAAAAGCCTTCTCTCGTCTCCTTCGCTCAGCTTCTGTGGATTTCTTTATGAGAAATTAATGACAATCTGCGATCCTTTTTCTTTCTCTCATAGTCCATTGTAGGAATGTAATTCTGTTCCTCTAAATTGAAAAATACATTTGGAACAATAAATCTTTTTAGATGAAAACTAGCTTTCCTGAAGGTTCCCTCGGTAAAGTCAGCACAAGTCATACAGATCAGAAAATCTTTGACTTTATTGCTAGTCAGCACTACGCATACGAATGTCTTCAAGGGTGGTGGTTTCTGCTGGTCACCACAAACAAATCAGCCAGATCATTAAATTATGTATATGCTGGGTGAAACAAAATTGAGATTATTTATGATGCTTTCTCCCATCAAGGAATTGGGATAACAATGATAACCCCCAGCCTCTCCACCTTTTCCAGCCCCAAGATCAAATAACAAAAACATTTACATTCAAGGGAGTTTTGAAGACTTTGATGTGTGCCAGATACCACATGATTAAAAGCCATACTTCAACATATTTCAGTGCTTCTGAGGGTTGAGGGATGTGGAATAAATATGGCACATTGTCAGTAAACAAACATTTACTTATGCATAAACATTGCACTAACCTAACAAGATTTCTGATTCTTACCAAATTCAGATTAAGCATTAATCAAGAGGACACTCCTAGTGAGAATTCCAATCATGATTTGTAAATTAATATTCAGTTTTATTCTGTCCCTCTCTACCCGTGAGTCATTCTTGGGTTTTTTTAAAACAATTCCTTACTTGGTAATTTATCAACAATCAAGTGAATACAAGTCACTAGGATAGCATGCGAGACTCCAGTCATCTCACTTTTGGCACTTCCCAGATCTTGGCAATCCATTTACCAGTTGTCCACAAACCTGTCATGAGTTCTTCAAGCTCATTATATCCCATTACAGCTCCAACAATGATGTTACTTTGAAACATGCACACTTTTGCCATTTGAAGTTATAATCAAATGAACTTTTCAAAAACTCAACTACTAATCTCAGCATAGCCAGGCTATAAATGCAACTGTGGAAACATGGTAGAAACACCTCATACCAATCTGTCAGATATGCTTAAATGAAGATAAAACAAGGTCACCTAGATTCTTAGCTTCCACATGGAATCTTTAGGAACACCAGCAAACATAACTCACCCTGTTAGCAGACTTCTTTCCTTATATGGAAACTGCTTAGTACAAGCTGGATGTAGCTTGTACACAACAAATTGTTTCATTCACACTGAGCATATAATTGTATTTTCATAATGCTGGCAAAACAAAACTCTTGAAACTAATTTTCCTGTCACAAACTTTTGATTTTATGGGCATTCAAGTATAAAGTTCTGATTTTGAGAGTTAGCCCATTAATTAATATGTACTGATATGTATGACACAGGATGTGCTTTATCCCTTTTCTAAAAAAATGTACAAGTAATTAGCTTCATGGAAAAGAATGTTAAGCATTTTCATGCTCTATTTATATCATGGCTTGAAGACTGGAATACTTCCAAATTCCTTATTCTTCAGACTTGACACTATTAATGTTGATTGCTCCAGACCAAGATTCTGTGGTCCACAGAATTTGTTAGATAGGAATCAAGTCCAAATTGAAGATTTATCACAGCCTTTTGCTATGAGTCAAACAATGTATGTAACCTAAAAAAAGGCCATCAGTAAATATTTGAAATAAACTACTTTTATAAAGGCTACACATCAAGGCATTATCACATCAAATGTTTAATTTTCTTTTAAACTAAATAGGAAGCATCTCAAAGATTTAGCTCAATGCATCAGTGATGTGACTGACAAGATTCTGCCTTTTCAATTAGCTTTTGATAAGTATAAAAACTCCAAATCTAAATGTATAGAATATGCCAGAAAACAAGACAAATCAGCATTTAAATCTAAATGTTTTACAGGTAAGACACAGGTTAAATT